ACAAACCTAGTCTATTATAAGTTACACTAAATTTCAAATTTCATTAAGTTTAATTGCAAACTGTAATTAATCTACTTACGTTCACACATGAAATGCTCATTTGGTTTAACAGGTTTCCATTTCTTCTGGACATATCCAGGACAACAAGTCTCACATTGGGCTCCACATGTGTTGTGCTGACAGTTGCATAGCAGTTTGTCAGGATTTGTAGGGTCTGCTTTGTCGCAGCTCTCTGCATGTCCATGGCACAAGCAACGGCCACCAATTGAAATGTCCTTAATGCTATAGAAATACTGCAATAAAAAAAAATGTCAAAATTGAGTAAAAAGAATTCAAATTTGAAAAAAAGAACAGTTTTTAATTTCCTTGATGATTTTCATGATAATTCTTAATTTCCTGATCGAATATGTTTCTTGCAGTTTCTATGACAATAAAATACTTGTGGAAATTCTATAATTTCAATGTAAAATATCTTTTTTTTTAATTGTTTAAAAATGAGGAAAGTTGTAGATGGCACACAAGATCAGTATTGGCTGTGTCACTGAAGAAATGGTATGATGTTGAAAAACCTGAAACTCCAATGAACCTTGTCTAAAAACATCACTGATGATGTCTGCCAAAGCATCAAACAGATATATTTCACAAAGAATTGTTTCACCCCAAGCAAGGAAATAATGCCACTAAAATACAGGGGTTACAGGGAGTAAAAGAGAATGAAGAGATATTAGTTGGGCAGATTGGGGAAAGGGCAAAAAAGAAACAGGATTCAAGAAGACAGCATTTGATGTTGCATTAAAATTTTTGAAGATAGTAGTTTTCAGGGAAGCAAGAAATCAGAAGGGAATTCCACAGGTGAGAAGTATGAGAAAAGAAACTATTGGAGCAGAAGTAGCAGTTGTATTTAGCTAGTTCAACAGTAAAACAGTGAGACCTAGTTGCTAATCTAGTAGCATACTTAAATTCATGTAGTCAGGGTACCAGGGAAAAAAAGCTCATCAGAAAAGTTGCCATAAAAATATTTATATAAAAGACAGAGAGAAGGCATGTCATATCAGTGAGAAAGTGGCTTATGTCAAGGTTCATGGTCACTATTGATTACATTACAGATCCTTCTTTGGATTTCGTCAAGAACCTAGAGATGAATAGCAAGAACATCAGACCAGATATGACAGCAGAATTCAATACACGGGTGAATGGTAGATTTGTAAATGTGCAAAATGAATTTTGATGAAAACAGTTTCTGGTATGACACACTGAATCAACTTCTCTTGCAGCAGACATGGCAACTGACTCGATATAGTCACTCCTCTTCATGTCTGGAAAACATGAGGCCTAGAAGGTGTAGGGTGTTGTTCTCCAGGAGTTTAGAATCATCCATGCTGATGGCAGGAAGACAAGTTTCTGTGGTGACTAAATGAAATCAGTTTTGTCTTGGACATGTTACAATTTACAAGCCATTTCTTGCCCCAGTTAACCACTGACTGGAGGCTCTTTTCAAGAGCAGTTGCCAGGTTTACTTTCTTGGTCTGTCAGATATGCTACTGAGCTTAAAAACTTTAACAAAACATTGCAGTAATATTCATAAAGGGCTTAAAGAACTAAGTGAACGAATAGAGGAATCATGCTAGTTCAAGGCCTGCAGCATATATTATTGGTACTAACTAAGCATCTCGGCTTGTCACTTTCCTGTGGCCATAATGTGGCTTCTCTGTGACTTTTCTATAAATACTTTCATGGTAATTGTGCTGATGAACTTTCCTCTATAGTACCTAGACATTATGAATTTAAGCACAATACTAGATTGGTGGTAAGGTCTCATCATTTTACAGTTGAAATGGCTAGATGTAGCCGTAAGTTCTATGCTAACAGTTTCTTTTCTTGCACTCCTCATTTCTGGATCTCTTCCAGCTTCTTGCTTTGATCTTCAAAAATGTAAATGCAATGTCAAATGTTATCTTCTGCCTTCTTAATTCCTGTTCTTTTATTGTCCTCACTCTTTAATAATGCTTTACTTCTTATATTCTCTCACACTCAGTAAACCCCTGCATCTCAGTGGCTTTATTGCCTTGCTTGGGGTGAATTGATAAAAGAAAAAAAAAAGGTATAAAGCATCAGAAAAACGATGCTCTATACCTTTTACACCTGACATGCCTCAAAGTTTTCGTATTTCAAAATATTTTTGGTAAATATATTTGTTAAAATAAGATGTCAGTGTTATTTTGATTTTTTCCGTAATTTAGACGACAATTTATCTATCCATAAATATTTTTATGGCAACTTTTCTGATGAGCTTTTTCCCTGGTACCCTGACTACATGAATTAAAAAAAAATATCCATAAAGATTATTAAATCATAAATTATTCACTAGCATAGTGATATAACTTATCAAACAGGTATATATTTAACTTCTACCGATATAAAAAACCAATCCAGAAAAATATGAGTCAAATGATTTCAATGAGATATTTAAGAAGATTGAATGGCCTTGATATGTTATCTGAAATGATGAATAATTAAAAATGCAGTTCTATAAACTGTAAACATTAACATTGCCAAATCCTAAGATATTGGTTTCATTAGACAGTGTGGAAGTATTTATTATGGGGTTCTTGAGAAAAAAAAGGAACTTTTCACATTTCTTTATCCTTTCATTACATAGACGATCATTGCCCTCCACAATTGCCTACCCTTTGTCGATCTTAGTAAAGTTTGTCTTTTTCCTATCTTTCCTAATCCAAGTTCCACCAACCATTTACACAAGCTCCTTAGATTATGCACCGTTTTCTTCTGTCCCCCTTGCCTTCTATATGTCCTGTGAATGTCAAATTTTCTAAGCCTTCTTTCCTCATTATATACCCTAGAAATTTCAACTGCCTCTTTCTGATGCTAAGTATGTGTTCTCTTTGTTTGCATTTTTCCTTCAAACTCCGTTGTGACTGACGTATTCAGTTCAATTTAAATCTAAAAATTTATCAAGCACTACGACTTAATCAGAAGGCCGAGTACAGTTGGGATTATAGTGTCTTTCTGAACTCCAATCTTTTTGTTCCATAGTATGTGCTTTAGAAGGCTAAATACAGTTCTTGAATTCAGAGCTCTACTTTTTAATCCATAGCCAAGTGGAGACATTTTAGATTTATATCTTTCCCAAGTGTATGTGCATGTAAGTGAATGCAACAAACTTGACTGGAATTCAGACTTGGCTATCCGATTTCTCCTTTCAAGCCACGATCCATTAAATCACATGCATATCTGTTGTAGCATACCTACGGACGATAATGGTTATGTCCCCATTCACATAAATACAGTAGTAAATACTGTATGTTGGTCTGCAGTTGGAGATTCGTCTCCAGCTGCGCTGGTCAAACTCTCTGACTCCGGACAGAGAAGATCACCAGACGAGGCTATGTCGAAGAGTAGAGTCTCGTCTCAGGAAACAGCTACCCGGCCCTGTTTTATACAGGATCTATGGGGAATTTTTGACCGAGCCTACAGGCTCGGATATCCAACATTAAATTCAGCTTTGTGCCACATCTGACCGCATGGGGCGGTTCGTAGACATCCTAGATTTGGAAATTCGTCTCCAGCTGTGCTGGTCAAACTCTCTGACTCCGGACAGAGAGGATCCCCAGACGAGGCTATGTCGAAGAGCAGAGTCTCGTATCGGGAAACAGCTACCTGACCCCGTTTTATACGGAGCGTACAGGGAATTTTGGCCGAGCCTACGGGCTCAGATACCCGACATTAAATTCGGCCTTGTGCCACATCTGACCGCATGGGGCAGTTGATAGATATCCTACAGTTGGAGATTCATTGTGGAATTCACTTGACTCACTTCTAGTAGTTGACTACTTCTTTTACACACTGCTGGTAAATCTTACATGTATTGTTCTTGTCCTAAGTATTATCATTCGTTAACAACCTTCGATTGATTATTCTATTCAGTAACCTTCCCTAGGTTACAACATTTTGGCGACGAGGATTAGCCAAAATTACAACAATATCTATTCATAATAAGATAGATTAAATGAAATGTTCAGTTCAAAATTCCCTGAAGACTACCCAGATTGACAAGTTCCTGAATAAGGCCAAAGGGCACAACAGCTGAAACATTGTGATAAGAGTAATGAGGACAATTGTGTAAATGTAAATAAAAAGTAATTTAGTTAATCACAAGCCAAACTCACTCTTCTTGTTACAGTTGGGTCTTGTCTTTGCAGCTGCATCAAATGGCCCAGCAAGGTTTTTGTCTGTAGAAGTCTCAAACGAACAGAAGTTGCTTTCGTCCAATCACGAAGAACTGGAGAATTTGAAAAATTCTGAGCGCTTGGACGGTTATCCACCAGTGAAACAATAATCTGAAAATAGAAATAAATACAAATATGTTAGAAAAAAAATCTGTGTAAAATAAATGTACTCTTTCGTATTTCAAAATATTTTTGGTAAATATATCTGTTAAAATATGATGTCAGTGTTATTTTGAGTTTTGCGTAATTTAGACGACAATTTATCTATCTCACCCTGTATATAGCTACACGTTAAAACATAGTCTTCCATTTACGAACAACAATTTTTTCCTACTTAATGGAGAAAGACATGCTTGGTTGTATTTTCATTAAAGAGAAATTTTTGAGAATATGTTCATAAATATTTTGAAATGGAAATAATCTCAAAAATTTTTAATCACTCGAACAGGCTCCAAATTTATACAAACTTGATTTAATTGTTTGATTGTTTGCTTTTTTTACAGTTTATCAACCTTTTACGGGTTATTTAAAGCCAGAAAATATTTTTAGATTGTAAGAATTTTTTTGGCGATAATGATTTACTAATATAAGTTCTACTAATAAACCCATAGCTGGTGGTGGTGGTGGGGGGAGAGTATTCATACCTTTCCCAAGGGCATTTGTGTGTAAGGGAATATGACGAACCTAACTGGAATTGGAACTCTGCTCTCCAATTTCCAATCCGTTATCCGTTACACCACCCATACATCCAAGCTTACAGCATTTGGTATTCCGAAGGGGGCATCCATCTTGGTACTACTCAAGCTGAATGTTGCTTAACGTTGGTGATCGCAGGAGAACCAGTGTTTCAACGTGATATGGCCGTAAGCCTCAATTTAGATTTATGGCTCCAAAAATATACAAGCGAACACATGGCTTATTAAATACACTTTCATTATTTCAAACTATTGTTTTCCTCTCACAAGAGAGGGATACTTCGAAGAGCGGATAATTATAAGAAAATATACTCATGACACAAAATGGTCTGTAAGACTGTCATGCAAAACATTTTTGTATACAAAGTATCTTTTGTTAATATTATTGTGTGCTAGCAAAGTTAGTTAATAGTTTCAAAAGTTTTCAAAAAGTCACTGATTAAATGTGAGACTGCACATTAATAATAATAAAAAAATTCTATTTACCTCACCATTTTCCAGTGGCACAGCTTGAGAAAATTTCGTCGTACAGATAGCTTCATCATCTCGATTTGGAACATCCTTTGCTTGAACTCTAAATAAACTCCAACATTGTCTGGGATTTTCGGCAAAGTACTGCCAAGCAGACCATCTTTTACCAAAATCAGTGGACCTTTCCAGAATCCAAGCACCTGGACGTGGCGAGTTCGCCATTTTGATGAGGACATATGATACAAGGAATTCCTGGCAACATAATAAAAAAAACTACATAAATATAAACATTTAAGCAAAAAGCATCGATCAAGGTTTTTCAGAAAAAGTGATATCATTTCATGATCTAATAACTTGAGCAACTCTCGTTCAACTGAGCTCAAACAATATGTGGAGAAACAACTCAAAATTCTATGTTAATTTTTTTTTTCAGGTAGAGAAATGCCATTCACTAGAAAAAGATAGACGGTTTGTGTGTTACAGTATGCTCGAACACAGTCGAAGACAGTGTAGCGTGTATTTGTGAGAGAATGAGCTAAAAATGCATTAACTGTAATGCAGATGACATGACACAAAAAGGTTTAAAGAGAAAGACTTGACTATCGATTTGACATGTGCTAATATTGAAAACTATGGTGATCGGGCAAGAATCTGTGTTTCAACGTGATATGACCATAAACCTCAATTTAGATTTAAGGCTCTGATATAAGCCCCATGAGTGACTACACTATAGGTAGCAATTGCCTATAAATATCTGTAAGTGAACGGACTAGCTGGGATCTGTTGACTACAACTCAGACTTACGCGAGAACTACCGAACTTCCAATAGTAGCACTCAGTACTGGGTTGACTTGCGACGTCTTGTGCATAGCTATTACCTTTATTCTTATTGTACTGGGGTTTTTTTTACAATAAACCTTTACTTATTTTATCCACCTTGTTTTTCAAGTATATATTCCTATTAGCACAGAATATAACAGGCTCCAAAATTACACAAGCGGACACATGACTTAGTAAATACACTTCATTATTTCAAACTATAGTTCTCAACTCACAAGATGGTGCTACTCCAAAGAGCGGATAATTACAAGATATACTCATAACACAAAACTGAATTGCTTTGAATTTCTCATTCGAGTTTTAATGAATAAATCTTATTTTGTTCAACAATAAGCCTGTTTAGTTTCGTTTGCCTAGACCAGGGGTCTGCAACGATATATATATATATATATATATATATATATATATATATATATATATATATATATATATGCTGTGTCTCGGGGAAGGGTCAGGATATCACATGTACTATAATGAATTGTCTCGACCTCAGACAGCTCCGCCCAGAGAAATTTTATTTTCAGCAATAGTTCCTTGACGAATTAAGCAAACATATTTTTCCAAAATGCTCAATAAAATAAATAGCTATGCGTCCACCTTTCATTAAAATTTCGGCACTCAAAATCCACTTTACTTTTCTTAGTTTCAATGGGTTTTGTTTTTGTTCAAACAAGAAAAAAAACTTCTGGATAGAAAAGGAAATAAAGAATATGGTAATTAATTTAAATTGAGTTACAGTTAAGTTGGCGGACCGGACAAAAATCCTTCGCGGGCCGGATGTAGCCCGGAGGCCGGAGGTTGCCGACCCCTGGCCTAGACTATGTACTTAGATATTTACATCTCAAATGATATCAGTTTTTTGAAACAACCTATATAAAAGAAACATATTTACAAAGACACGTGTGTATGCATGTCCGTGCATTTGTCTCAACAAGTAGGACAGATGCATATGACTAAAAATAAAACATAAGATTTAAAAATTTCATTTGTATGCATACAGCATATCCCACCTCGCTCAGTTTTTCAAAAAACTGGACACATAACCCCATGTTGCGTCTTTATTCCCGTTTGCGTCGGAATGCACAAAAACTGAGAAAGATCTGCTGCACATTTCCAAGGGGAACAAAAATTGAAATCAATACCACTGTAAGAAATGAAAATACTAATCCTGTCTACAATAACTTGGTAATTTATTCCCTTACATTGTCCCGGTGAGTAGATAGGTGTCACTTCGGACAACTGCCATAATGGACTACGTATTAGCATTTACCTCCAGCTAGCGAGAATTCAGACTCTTATACCACCCCTCTGACCATCTCTACATCCCGTTACATAGCTGTCAACTCAAATGGGCATTATCAGAACTAATTCAACAGACAGTTTGTTCCTGCTAATGGGCGGTCCATGCCTGAAAATAGAAATTTCCAACGTCCGGTAAAGTGTCACTTGATCTCAAACGTTTTCATTTATTTTTCTATTATTTTATTCCTTTTTGGTCAAGTGGGTGGCTGTTTTGACGATCATATATCTCCGGCTTTACTGCTGGTCACAAAACACTGAGATAAAATCATTTACCATCTTCTATGTCGGTGTACTAATTACAGGTTTAGTGTGACATTCTTTAAATTGTTCTTTCTAATCTTTGACATTTATACATGAGAAATAAGTCGTCTTTAAACGGTTCACTTTATAATGACCTTTTTAATCTCTAGCTTTTAAGCAAGAGATATGTAGGCCACTAAAAATGATGCCTTGTAAACATTAAAGGGTTCTTTTTTCAGTGAGTTATTTCTTGGTACAAAACATATTAAACAACTGAGATCCGTATACGTATTGGGATGGTCAAGGACGCATTCCAACAGCTGGGCAGAATATTGTGAGACAGGAGGATTTCTCTGGTAACAAAGAAAAGAATACTGAACTGTTATGTGACATCTGTCCTTCATTACAGCAGCGAATGTTGGTCGATTTCCTCAAAGATGAAGAAGAGACTCGAGGCGACGGAGATGCGGTTCTACAGAAGGATGCTAAGGATATCATGGAGCGAGCGTGTGTGCAACGATGAGGTCTTAGAGTGGATGAAAACAAAGAGGGGGCTTATACTTAACATCAGGAAGAGGCAGCTGAAGTTTCTGGAACACATAATGAGGAAGGAGGGCCTGGAGAATCTGATACTCACAGGTCGAATAGAGGGAAAGAGAGACAAGGGAAAACAACGCATGACATAACTAGCGGCCTTAAGCAAATGGATGACAGAACGTGGTCTGGGCGAGTTGGCAGAGGAAAGGAACTTGTTGAGAGTTGCAAGGGATAGAGTTAGGTGGAGAGCCATGATCGCCTACATCCTGAAAGGTCATGGCACATAAAAGGAAAGAAGGGAAAGATAAACAAGGGCATGACATACCTAGGAGACTTAAGCAAGTGGATGACAGAACGTGATCTAGGGGAGTTGGCAGAGGAAAGGAAGTTGTTGAGAGCTGCAAGGGATAGAGGGAGATCCATGATCGCCTACGTCCTGAAAGGACATGGCACATAGAAAGAAAAATATTGTCTCAAGCCATTATCAATTACTGCACCCACACATACAAGCTTACACCACCTGGTATTCCCAAGCGGTCACCCATGCAAGTACTGACCAGGCTAGGCGTTGTTAAAATGAAATCAAGACGCGTGTATAAAACAATTTGGCATGACGTAATTAACGTTTTTCTGCGTTTAATTGTTTTTACTAGTATTTCATTTATCTTAATTTTACTTGGTCTCAATGCAAATGATCAGACCATCAGAAAAAAAAAACAACCAAAAAACGGACCAGAGAAAGAAAAAACAAAACAAAAACAAGTTCACGGCAAGATTCGAACTTGTATTTCTCTTGAGTCGGAAATCCTAGCTTCCCTTGATATCTATGCTTAACCTTTGAGATATGAAAACCAACATGTGATTTAGGTCAAATATAGCCATAACAAACATTTAGATTCATATCTCCATGCTCTAACCACTATGCAAAACTTATAAAAATTGAATTAAATATCGATTGATTGAACGATTCATTTTCTACAGCTTATCAACGCTTTGCCGATTATTTAAAACCAGGAACTATTTTTAGATTATAAGAATTTTTTTTAGATAATAATGATTTAGTGAGACAGGGCTTATTAATTAACCCATAGCTGGGAGATAAGTGGTGGATTCATACCTTTCCCGAGGGTATTTGCGCGTAAGTGAATATAATGAAATCAACTGGAATTGAACTGAGCTCTCCGATTAACAACTTTGCGTCATTATTCGTTATCCCACCCACACATCCAAGCTTAAAGCACCTGACATTCCCAAGCGGTCACCGATCTAGGTACTGATCAGGCTCGACGTTGCTTAACTTGAGTTAGCGTGCAGGAACAGGTATTAAAATGAAGTCAAGGCGCCTATGTCAAACAATATGGCGTCATCAACTTTTTTTAATCGAATTTTTAAACTAGTATTTCATTTATTTTAATTGTAGTTGCTTTTCATCGAAAATAATCAGACCATTTAAAAAAAATTGACTGACCGGAGAAAAAAAGTTTCGAACTTGTATCTCTCGTGTCGGAAATTCTAACTTCCCGCGATACCTATGCCGAACCCTTAAGCTATGAAATCCAAATTGTACTTTAGGTCAAATACAGTAATCACAAACTTTTAGATTCATAGACCGATGCACTAACCACTACGCAAAACTTATAAAGATTGAATTTAAGGTCGAGGAAATTTTTAAAACACGTCTTCAATTGACAAACGATATGGACTCCAGAGCGTTCAGTTTGATTTTGTAAAACTATACAATTATTATCTGGTTGTTATTGGATTTTCAAATAATCTACAATT